TGTTTAAAATTTTAATGCTAAATTTTAATTATTTTCTAATGAGGACAATAATTTCTTACTAAAAACCCAAATGTGAGTAATCAGTCAATATGCTGTGAGAGTGTCTGAGAACATACTGCAATCGCCAGGCACCCGTGGGCCTTTAAATAAAACAAACCAAGGTATTGAAATACTTCTTCATTAACTTACAAATATACTCCACCTTACTTACTAGACTGTAGCTCTAGGTAAACCTGTAAAGGAGTTTGTCTTTTCTGGAATCCCTGAATTAAACAACTCTATTTTTGTCTCTTAGTAAATTGCATGCACTTTTATACTAAAAGTTTATCCGGGAGGCAGACTGTCTAATCAGCCTTTAACCTGTTTCCCAGGAAAACCACACGCTATGGCTACATCGTATCCCCTCCACACATTCTTATGTGGAAGTCCTCGGCCCCAGGACTTCTGAATGTGACTGTGTTTGGAGATAGTCTTTATAGAGGTAATCAAGTTAAAACGAGTTTATTACAATGTGAGTGGACAACGATATGGCTGGTATCCTTAGAAGGTGAGATTTGGACCCAGGGACACACACATGGAGGCATGCCATAAGAACAGGACGATGGCCACCTACAAGCCAGGCCAAGAGACCTGGACCATATTCTTCCTTCTTTGTCCTCCGAAGGAACCAACTGTTCCCATTCCTTGATTTCGGACTTCTACCGTCCAAAACTTCTGCCTCCCAAAACTTCTGTTGTTTCAGTCACTCAGTTTGTGGTCCTTTATTATAGCAACTGTAGCAAATTCATACACTGCACAAGAAACTGAGAATGTTTAACATCTCTGGGAATTTCTTTTAAGAAAAGATAACTGAGATTATGCTTATTTTTCTTAATTCTAAGAAATATGGTGATTAAAATTATGATATTCTGAATGCTTAGGCTCAAAGTGTGTTTCTAGTTTATAAGAGTTACATTAAATTCATTTGCCCATAATTATTTAGAAAAAAATTTAAATAAATATCACATATTTAAAAATTATTTCAGGCAAGTCAACTATCAGATATTGAGTTCAAGGCAATGGTTATAAGGAAATTTCAAAATTAAAATCATTATACTGGCAGGATTTAATTTTATTTAAACTTAAGTTTTTAAACAAATCTAGATATGCTGAGCAATGCACTGGCAATATTGGAAGAATATTCCAGGAGGGGGTGCAGGCGAAATGCCACTGTGGCAAGGAGGGCACTCTGTACCTGGGAGAAGGGCTCACCAGACAGGAAGAAGCAGAAAGTGTGCCCTTCTCCCTCCAAAGAAAGAGATGAGAGAGGAAGGGGATCAGACAGGAAGACTGATTTTTTTTATTCCCTTTCTCTCTGGGTAAGCTTTATAACCACAAAGCATATTTGACTTTTGAGGAAAAGCTGAAAGAAGAGCTATGACAAAAGAAATGACGATGGCAGGACAATACAAGCAGTGCCATAGTGTGGTTAGGTAGGAACACCCCATTCGTCTCTTTCCTTCCTACTCCCACCCCAGGCTGCCTCAGCCACAGGGTGGTCTATATATAAATGACCCAGGATCCCCAGCAGTCCCTAAGGGATGTCAAGATGCTTGAACTTGCTGGAGGGAAGGCTTGCCAGAGGCAGTCTCCTGAGAGGTGGTGGGGTGGCAAGGCCTCTAGGCTGTGCTGTGAGTGCCAGAGCACATTCCCTTGTTCCTGTGCCATTTCTCGGCATGATTTTGAAAGAAACAGGACCAGCCTCCAGGAAGGAGTCAAAGTACCCATGGGTGCTTTTGGAAAGTGGGTGTCAGGAGACAGCCAGGAGGGGAGGTTTGGAGAAGTGCCTTGAGCCTTGGACTTTGTCAGGACCCTGGAAACAAACTGACTAATTAGGCCTTAGTGGAAAATGCCACACACCCAAGAACCACCTGCACTACGTGGTGAAGACCAGCTAAAGGGTAAGCGCAAAGTTAGGGCCCCAAACACCAAATGCTCCAAGGATGATAAAGGTTTCCCTCTATGTAGGCACCATCTTAGGAAAGAAGAAATAGTTCCTTTGGGAGTTGAATTTAGCATTGACTGAATATTGGCTAAAAGGAGACTGACTTACATGAGAATGTCTGGGATATCATTAATTACCAAGTTAATAGTTTTCCATAGCTACTAGAATGGGTGAGACCTTATAAAGAAGATTACATTTATAACAAGAAATAAATAGGCAGCATTTTCTTTGTACATTTGAGTATTGGTTGAAATATTTGGTTTTAATTTTAGATAATTAATTTTAGTTTTGCAACAAATAATGACTCCATCAAGGTGCACAGATATTCCCTAAATAAAGAGTAATTCTAAAACATAGTGAGATGCTGAAATATTGCTATGAATTTTCTGAGAAAGCTATAAATATCTCCTCTCTATCAATCCCTTGGTCTTTTACTGATAAAACAATACAAATACAATGCCTAAAATGTTATACTGTAATTTTTTTTCTGAAAGTATTGATTAAATCTGCTTTCCATTTAGCAAGTTGGAATGATTTGTATCCATTGGTATAGCATAAAAAAACTTTAGATAAAATATAAAAGTTTCAACTCTCCACTCCCTTTCTCCTTTATACACTCTTGTTTTTTGTCTCACTTGAAACATCTAATTAAAAAAATAGTGTAAGACATTATACTTCTTCACAGATCTCTTAACAATCTCCCTTAACAGTACAGAATATAGATTTCTTGCTAGTAGTTATGTAATGGTTGGAATTTTCTTTTCACTTGTACATCACTGACAACTCGCACATAGAAGAAAGGAGGCACAATTTACTTTTATTTTATATATAGAAAAGAGAAAAGAGCAGTGTAGATTTGAAGTAGAATAGCCTTTAAATTTATTCCATGATGGACTTAGAGATGAAAATAAAGAGTGTGAGATTTATACAAAGAGTAATAGTTTGTATGTTTAAAAGCAGACTCTGACCTCTGTCTTTGTGACTCTTATTTGATGATAGTATTGTCAGCTATTTTACTTGCTTAGAAAATTCATGTTGGAGTGTTAAACAGTTTCCTGGGTCATGGTAGTTATTGCAAAGAAATTGAGTAATTACAGGATATTCCCCCAAACTTACCTGCTTCTGGGACAAAGTTATTCTTAAAAGTATTTACCATATTACAAAATGTGAATATACTTTACTTAAAGTATAGCTCTCTTGCTCAGTATTTTTGAGAATAATATGTATTATGGTGATTTATGTGTTAATATTCAGGGAATGAGGAAGTTTTTTTTTAAGATTTCATTTATTTTCAGAGAGAGGGGAAGAGAGAAAGAGAGGGAGGGAAAGGAACATCAGTGTGTGGTTGCCTCTTGCACATTCCCCACTGGGGACCCGGCCCACAACCCAGGCATGTGCCCTGACCTGGAATTGGACCAGAGACTCTTTGGTTTGAAGGCTGGCACTCAATCCACTAAGCCACACCAGCCAGGGCAGAAAGGTTTTAAAATAAAAATTAAGATAGAAAATTTTGAGCCTTGGAAATTACTTGGAACTATCTACAAATTATTTGCTACCTCTTTTTAAAGACCAATATTTTATTATGGTATATAATTTGGGTTGAATAAATGAAGTTGTAATCTTTTCTTCTTCATTATGAATATGGCTTATATTTGAGAGATGTTTTGTAAACATTACAGACTTTTGACTCTTTGCCAAAGTGAACATTTTTGGAATAGCATTAACTATATCTGGCTAGACTTGAATAACAACACCACACATAGTCACAAACACACATACACACAGAAGGAACTGAGCGAGGAAGCCCATTCTCTTGAAACTCTGAAATAATATCTAACATAAACTAAGTTGTAGACTCAGATCATCACTAAGACCTAGAAAAAGTCAGTCTCCATAGACAACATTTTATAATTTTTGAGAACAGTGGTTTGTAAAACTACTGTGTTTTTTAAAAGGCTGTTGTACAAAGAGTAACAGCTGAATTTGGGGGGTTCAGAGGAAGAACAGATTGAAGTTCTCTGCGCTGTTAATACTTATCCCCCAAAACCCACTGGACTGTGAGAGGTAATACTAATTTCTGTTTCCACAGTCGCTCACCTCACTGACTCAACAGAGATTTCCCGAATAGCTCCTGTGTGTCTGTACCTGCTGAACAGGGGAGGAGGTGGGGGCACACTAGCAAGGTTTCTGCGCTCAGGGATTTTTTTTTAATCTACTGGCGCGATTTGATAATAATCAAATACTCAAACACATAGTTGCAAGCTGTGAAAGGAAGGTTGTCAAGTGTTTGGGAGCTGGGGTGACTATGTGGCTCTTCTCAGGAAAAGGGACTTTAAGGAGCAGCAGTGATCAATCATACAAGCAGGGAAGGGGGCTGCTGATGTGCCATTCGGAGGAGCCCTGCCAGAACCGAAGAAGCTGAAACACCGTCATTTGGAAACACTGCAAAGTCTTCAGAGGAGGCTGGGGAAATATAGGTAGGAGCCTCTTGTGTAGGAGTTTTATAGGATTGGTTCAATATTTTGATTTTTATAACTAAGAGGGTCTTCAAATGGGTTATCTCCTGGCTATAATCATGGGCAGACAGGTTTCCATGTTTCTGCTTGCGATTTTTAGTCAGCAGGGTTTTTTTGTTTGTTTTTTTGCTTTGAAAAAAAATGAATCATTTCGGTAGGTCATACTTTCTCGGCTTTGTTCAGAGGCTGCCTATCCCTGCTGGCTTCGCACACATACTCTTGTTTGACCCCCGAGGAAAAGGTGCTTGCAACTTTGCTCAAGGATCACTACATATTGTACTTAAAAGAGCATCGAGAAGAGCGGCCGCACAGCGAACAGAAAGGGTAACCTGCAACCCCAGCTCAAACCTTGCAGGCGGAGTCTGCGTTGCTGGGAGCTGGGAGCGGCACTGGTTGCGGGGGGAATGGGAGGAGCGCAGCGCTGCAACCCAGTGCGCATGACCGCTTTGCGTTGCCAAGGCAGCGGAAAGGCGCCACCTGGAAGAGGGCCCCGGCTCAGCTGCCGGCACCCAGAGGGACCTGGTATTCCGTGCTGTCTCGGGTCTGACTGGTTCCTGAGTCAGTCTTAAGCAAGGTAAAGCAGGCGAGGAGCTGAGTCTGTTGCAACGGAATGGCCACCCGCCTAGAAGCTGAGGATTCAGGGGAGCAAGGTGAATTGGCCCAAACGGACATCAGCGCTACGGCCGACCTTTCCAGTGAGACCATCCCGTCCTTCACTGAGGAGGTACAGAGTTCCGGCTCATTCAGTTCCTCCGGAGGACTGCCCCCCAGGTCCCAGGACTCTGGAAGCAGGCCTGGGAGTGGGAAGTCGACCACATGCTGGGAATATCAAGACAAACCATCTGAACTTTCAGAAAGGAGGTTTAGTTGGAAAAGGATCAACTACCTCAAGGGCAAAGAAACTAACTGTGGACGGTACCAACCAGACACTAAACTTCTTCAAACAGAAATCACTCCGGTATCTGATGAACAACTGAATGCCCTGCAGTCTTTTTGCACCAGTAAGGTAAACCTGATCCATCACAGAACAACCTCTAAGGAGAAAAAAAGCAGCAGACATAAAAAGCTGCCGTATAGATTGGATGCAGAGGCTTTAGACATAGGTGCCTTAAACTGTACCGTCCCTGATGAGCTTATGAACAGAATCTGTTTAAAAAACATGATGGCAACACTGAAGCAGGTGGCCACGGCTAAGCAACACATTCCTTCCAGGTGTCCGAACTGTAACAGAAAAAGAGCAGAATTGGCTCAATCTGCCTTCCTGAAACGAAAGAAGACTTTACTGGAGTCATTTCTACTCCAAGAGAAAATAGATGAACATCTTCATACCAAAGACTTTCTTACCCTTATTGGAGAAGCACACCAGGGCCTTCCCAGGCTTTCAGATGACCCCAGAATGATCTGGAAAAGACTGAAGGAGAAAAGTCAGAAGAGATACTCTGGGTTTGGAAGGTCAGATACAGAGCAGAAGATGTAGCAGAATGGAAATAGCGCTTGGCATTCTAATAGTGCTTTTGCTCTGTCACTTCTCACACCTTTTATTCTAACCAAACAGGAGATGCTGTTTATTAATGATAATGTGTAATGTGGATAGATGTTTCTGTTGTGTATTTGAGTAATTATCATTTCTACAGGCTGTCTGGAAACTAACTTAAAACTTTATTATGCTTTTTTCATAGATTCGAGGACTAAAAACTTCCAAACCAGCATCTTTTCAGGGAGATCCTGGTGGTTTGGACTAGGGTTTTGAGAGTACAGATAGAAACACGGAAATGTAAGAGATACTTAGAGAGGTAATCATTGACCGTCTTGGTGAAGAAATGGATATGGGTATTTAATGAAAGGTAAATACTGAGAGTGTTATTAAGTTTCTGACTTCTGTACTTGAATAAATAGTAATTTCACTAAATTACATACAGAAATATTGGCAAGGATCATGTTTGATAAGACTGATTAAGAGTGATTATTTGGACAGGATTGTTTCGAGGTACATTGGAGGCATCCCCTTTGAGAGGTTGAGAAAGTTTTGGTTATTTGTGCTCACAGTCTGCAGATTTGAAGTAAAGGGAAAGGGCCACAGACCATTGGCATGTAGTTGGAAACTGAAGACATAGACGTGGTACGCTGCTCTGGAAGAGGGGAGGGTGAGAAGTGAACAAGAGGTACGGCCAACTCCTGAGAGATTCCACAGTTAATGGCTGGATGGAGGAGAACAAGCCAGCAGAGAGTTAGAAGAAATTGTCATAAAATCATAAAACCAGGAACGTGTAGTGCCACAGACAGCAAAGAGAGACTATTTCAAGGAGGAGGGGTTTCATGAGCACACAAATGCCATAGAGAGTTCACGTGAGAGGCTGTAGTCGCGTCTTGGGCTCTGGTTACCTTAGCAACAGCCACTTCACTTATAGAAATTAGCCAGACAGGCAAAGTGTGTTGAGGAACAAATGTAAGGAAATGAAGGGTGTGCGTATAGACTACTTCTCGAAGTTCAGCTGTGGAAGAAAGTGAGGTAGCTGGAGGTATACGTATAATTGAGGGAAGAATGCCCTAATAAATTATCTAAAAAACTATTTTGGTCATAAAGAGTTTATGAAACTTCTCTTGTCCATCCTGATTTCTATTCTGATGAAACAGTATTATCCCCTGAAAATACTATGGTCTTTTGAAAATATAGTTATAGGGGAAAATGTTAGCTAGCATTCTGAGGAATTATACTTATTTTTCATAAAAATATAGATCCTATAATTTGTGACAATACCTAGAAGTCATTTTTCTACATGTCTAACACCTAAGCTATCATGGTCAAAAAAGAAATTTGTAAAAATCAGCATAAAATTGTATTTATAATATATTCCAATACCACTCTTTGATTTTTAGATGTTCATTTATGCATAAAGATATTCCTTCTCCTCTACAATTTATTGCATTTCTTAAGTCATTCTTAAATAAAATGGAAACCAAATCATTAACATTTGCATAATAACTTTCTATTTGAAATACACATTATGTCATACTTTATCTTTGGCATCTCCATGTAGTCACATTTCACATAATCAAAATTCTGAATAATTTCCCATTTAGAATCCCCCCATTAAAGGTCATAATCCACCCATGTGGTTAACTAAGCTAGAAATCATAGAATCATCTTTTGTTTTTCTCTCTGTAACTCAAACCCGAAGCTATTTTTCAGCAAGACCATTAGATCTTTCTTCTTCAGCGTCTCCTGGCCATAACTTCTTATTTCCAGCTCATTGCCACCTACTTCCGCATCTCAGCCCTCCCACTCGGCGCTTCTCCGTATAGTTCTCAGCATTATCTTTCCAATGTACACGTCCGTTCAATTAATTCCCTTGACTGAAAAAATTTAAATGACTAATCAGTGCATAAGAATAGTTTAAATTGATCAAGGCCACATATTAAAGCCCAAATTTACCTGTATAATCTCATCTATTCTCCCCACCCCTCTATATTAAGCCTCTGTACGAGACTTGCAATTCTCTGAGCTCATTATGGTTTACAAGTACACATTTGTTTTACTAAAATTTTCTTAACTGCCTTTTCCAGCTGGTGTGCTTCTCTTTTCCCCTTCCTCACGCTCCACTCTCCTACTCTCCCTCCTCTTCCTCATTTAGTTTTAAATGTTAACTATAAAATAAGTAATATATTTACATGGCTCAAAAATCAAAAGGATATCACAGAATTGGTGTGAAAAGCTGCCCTTCCACACTGTTTCCAACCGACTTCATTCTAAGCTGGCCTGTCGCACCCCTACTCCGCCAGGGTTGACATTTGCTAGATCGTGGGGAAGTCAGACATCCTGGGATAGCAGCAGAGGCAGGGGCAATGCAGGGAACTGGGGAGTGGCTACTTACCAACCAGGACAGAATATTTGTGTTGCAACTAGTACAACCAAATTAGTGGATGTGGCTAGCTATGCATGTAGCTCATAAGAGGCCACTTATATTAGTTTCTCATGTATTTTTCCAGTGTTTCTTTATACAAATACAAACACTAAAGATAATTCACTATGTACTCTCTTTGGTACCTTTTTGTTCTTGCTATTTTTTTTCTTGTGATAAAAATATATATGTGATAAAATACACATAATATGTAAAATATATATACCTGTATAAAATAAAATTTGCCATTTTAATCATTGCTACTATTCAGTGCTATTGAATAGTGCTTTGAATTGTACTATCAGTGGTAATAATTACATTTACTATGTTGTGCAACTGTTACTACTATTTCCAAAACTTTCCATTACCCCAAAGAGAAACTCTTGATTCATGAAGCAATAATTCCCTATTCTCATCTCCTTCCCAGATCTTACCAAGCTCAAATGTACTGTTTATCTTTATTTATTTGCTTATTCTACATATTCATATAAGTGGAATCATAACATTTGTTCTTTGTGTCTTGCTTATTTTATTGCATACTGTTTTCAAGATTTATTCATGTTGTAGCATGTATCAGAATGTTGTCCCCTTTGTGGCTGAATAATATTTCTTTGTGTATATTAACATTGTTCATTGATTTGTGATGGGCACTTTGTTTTCACTTTTTGGTTATTGTGAACAGTGCTGCTATGAGCATTAGCAGACATATATCTGAGCACCTGTTTTTTTTTAAGATTTTATTTATTTATTTTTTTTAGAGAGGGAAGGGAGGGAGATAGAGAGAGAGAGAGAGAGAGAAATGTCAATGTGCAGTTGCTGGGGGTCATTGCCTGCAACCCAGGCATGTACCCTGACTGGGAATCGAACCTGTGATGCTTTGGTTCGCAGCCCATGCTTAATCCACTGAGATACGCCAGCCAGGGCTAATGAGCACCTGTTTTTAATTGCTTGGGGTTGCTACCTAGGAGTAGAATTGCTGCATCACACGGTCATTTTATGTTTAACTTTTTAAGGAACATTAAAATTCTTTCCTCAGGAGCTATAGCATTTTACATTTGCGGTGACATGCCAGGGTTTGTTTCCTCTCATCCTTGCCCATTTTCCACTTTTGAAAAAGTATAACCATCCTAGTAGGAATAAAGTGCTGTCCCATTTTGCTTTTGACTCACATTTTCCAAATGACGAGTGATGTTGAGCATCTTTTCTTGTGCATATTGGCCATTTGTTTATCTTCTTTGGAGAGATGTTTATGTAAGTCCTTTACCCACTTTTAAAATTGGGCTGTTTGTCTATTTTGTTGAGTTATAGGAGTTCTTTATATATTCTGAATATGAAGCCCTTGTCAGATATAAGAGTTGCAAATATTTTCTCCCATTCTGTGGGTTGCCTTTTCAGTTTCTCGATAGTATCCTTTACTGCACAGATGTTAATTTTAATGAAGTCAAAATTGTCTGCTTTTTCTTTTGTTGTCAATGTTTTTGCTGCTATATTTAAGAACTATTGCCAAATCTAAGATAGATTTGTCCCTATATTTCTTTTGAAGTGTTCTATAGTCTTAGACCTTATGTTCAGATCTGTAATCTAATGTGAGTTAATATTTTGTTTCTAGTGTGAGATAAGGCTTCATTATTTTGCATGTAGATACCCAGTTTTTCTAGCACCATTTTTCAAGAGATTGTACTTTCCCTGTTGAATGGCCTTGTACCCCTTGTGGAAAGTCAGTTCACCATAAATGTGAAGGTTTATTCTGTTTTACTGACCTCTATCTCCATCCTATGTCAGGACCACACTGTTTTGATGACTGTGCTTTTTAGTTAGTTTTGAAATCAGTAAGTGTTAAATACTCGTATTCATTTCTGTTCTTTTTTTTCAAGTTTTTTTTTGTGGTTATTCAACATCCCTTGAGATTTCATATGAATATTAGGATGGATTTTTCTATTTCTGGAAAAATGCCATTGTAATTTTGGTAGCAATTGCGTTGAATCTGTATATTGCTTTGCTTAGTGTTGTCACCTTAACCATATGAAGTCTTCCAATCTGTGCACAAGGGATATCTTTTCATTCATTTAGGCATTCTTTAATTTCTTTCAACAAGATTTTTTATTTTTCAGTGTATAAGTTGTGTGCTCCTTTTGTTGAATTTATTACTAATTTGTTACCTTGATTGCTATTGCAAATAGATTTCCCCAAATCCAATTTCTTTTTACATGTTCACTGCTTAGTACATAGAAATACGACGGATTTGTGCATGTTAATTTTGTATCCTGAACCTGCTGATTTTACTTATTTGTCCTAACAGTTTTTTTAAATGGATCATTGGGATTCATTAGCTATAAGATTATGTCATCTACACACATATAATTTTACTGTTCTTCTTTTAATTTGGATACTTTCCCCTCCTCACCCAATTCCCCAGACTCTCACTCCCAGTGCCCTAACTAGCAGAAGTACTGGAAGCAGCCATGCTCATCACATCCCTGACCTAAGGGGCGGAGCTTTCAGCCTTTCACCACTGAGTATGATGTTAACTGTGGGTTTCCTATATGGCCTTTTCCATGTTAAGAAAGTTCCCTTCTGCTCTTAGTTTATTCAATGTTCTCATCATACAAGGATGTTGGATTTTGTAAAAGTTTTTTAAAATTTTTGTTTCATTTTGACCAGATGAGTGATCCTGTGGCTTGCCCAGCCTAAAACCTTACCAAGCTTTGCACTCACCCCATAACCCTTACACAGCGACTGTCAGACTTAAAGCCTGTATGGCCTGTGCGCTCCTCAGGCGCCAAGATAAATTCATACTATAACCTGTGTCTCAAGTAATCTGATTTCTTTCTTACCTGATTGTGAGCAACTGAAGGATAGAGACTCTATCTCACGTCCTATCTACACTACTTAGCACAGTGCCTCACATATGGTGCTTGACAAGAGTTTCCTGGCTGATAAAAGGAGCATCTGAACAATGAAATTTAATGTCTTTTGCACCAAAAGAAGAAAACAATCTGGTAGCATACTCTTTTCTGTCAGTGTTTTGCCTTTGTGTTGTTGTTTTCCGTAATTTTTGTCTCCATGGATTATTGGATTCCCTTTTTTTAATGTATGTACATAATTTATCTCAGTAGAAATTAGTGGAAAGCTTTTTGAGAAGACATATTTCCAGGAAGTATGCAGTCAATCAATACAGTATTCATTTAAAAGAATTAATTTGAAAATATTTCTCTGGAATCCACATTTTACATGGAAAATTTTTATCTGAATTGTTATTTTTAAAGAGAGTTTATGACTTTTTGCAATTTTGAAATGGTGTGAACATTCTTGATGCTTGAAAGTAATTTTTATTGCCTCTGAATAAATGTAAAAGGAATGAATATTCTTTCTCCAAAATCTTTATAGTTGTACCCAAGAGATTCCAACACAGCTGGAAATTTGGAAAGGAAAAGAAATCCCATCAGATCAGATGCTAAGAAACCATGTATTTCTCCAATGCACTAGAAATGTACCTGGCAACTCAGTACAGAATTATACTAATATTTAATTTATGTAACTATAATACCTAAATTATATAAACATGCATCTATTTTTTGTCTTATAGATATTTTACCAAAAAATAAAATCCTGCACCAAAAACCAAAGCTACGCATTTAACGAACACAAGAATAATGAAATCCTTGAAAAGAAGTTTGGTCCTGAACATCTGAGTCATTCAAATTCCAATCTAAGAACTGTTTAGGAATGTTTGGGACACTCAGCTGAGAATACCTCCAATTTTCAACATGTCAGTTTAATTCATAATGAAGCCTAATATAGAAATTTAGTTGTTTCTGCAGCAACATAGCTAAACAGGTTGCAAAGAAATAGGGATTCTGGCTCTATCTGGGCATGGGTTCTCCCTCAAGTTTTTCTGGAACTGACAGATGAAAAATACAAAGTAGTTAATTTAAGAAACAGAAAAGGAAAAGATAGCTTAACATCTATTCTTAGTTGACAACATCTTTTACAATAGAGAATTCAGAAAATTCCAATTTGTAGTAGACTCAGAGTACAGTGCAAACT